ACTTGCCCAATGCCTTCTTCAGGAGAGCAATTCTTTTTGTGTTGTTTCATACAATCAACATATCATCAACATAAAAGCAAGAGGATAATAAAATCAGCCTCGACATACTTCTTCAAAAAGGCACAATGATCAGACTGTGCTTTATGGTAACCAAGATTTGTCATAAAAGACTCAAACTTCTTGTACCACTGTTGAGGAGCTTGCTTCAAGCCATACAAGCTTTTGTTCAATTTGCCAACCAAGTGCTCTTTGTCTACAACCGCAAACCATTCTGGTTGCTCCATATAAATCTCCTCCTCTAGGTCACCATGCAAGAATGTTGTCTTCACATCAAGTTGTTCAACTTCCAAGTCCATGGTGGCAGCCATACCAAGCACAACTCGGATTAAAGACATCTTGACCACAGGAGAGACTTCAACCTGTACACCCACTTATTCTTCAGTGCTTTCTTGCCCTTTGGCAACTTCACCAGCTCAAAGGTGTTGTTCTCATGAAGGGAATTCATCTCGTCCTCCATGGCTTCCAACCAACGATTCTTGTGCTCATCAGACATAGCCTCCTCATAGCATGAGGGTTCACATGCATCTGTCAACAACAAATACTCATGTGGTGGATACATGCTAGAGGGCCTACGAACTCTGCTAGTTCTTCTCAACTGCTCCTGCTGTGGTTCTTCTGGAGTATCATCAACATCAGCATCCTCATCAACATCATCATCCTCAGATGACTGATCATCACCCTGGCTTGAACTTGCACCTTCAGTGCCATCATCTCCCCCATGATTGCCATGCACAACAGGAGAAGCAATTTGATCCATATCAACAACTTAAGGTGTAGTGGTTGGCTTCTTTGGCTTCACAATATCTTCTATTGTCTCATCTTCAAAGAACACTACATCTCCGCTTCTCACAATTTTCTTATTAATAGGATCCCATAGCCTATAGCCAAACTGCTCATCAGGGTGGCCCAAGAATACACACTGTTTGGACTTACTGTCAAGCTTTGACCTCTCATCTCTAGGAACATGCACAAATGCCCTGCACCCAAAGACTTTTAGATGCTTGTATGATACTTCCTTTCCTGACCATACCTTCTAGGGAATATCACCCTCAAGTGGAACACATGGAGACAAGTTGCGCACATATACTACAGTCATCAATGCTTCAGCCCAAAACTGATCTGGTAACTTTGTATGAGAGAGCATAGCTGTGACCCTCTCAATTAGTGTCCTCTTCATCCTCTCTGCAAGGCCATTCTATTGAGCTGTCTTTGGCACTGTCTTTTGTTGCCGGATTCCATACAACCTGCAGTACCTCTCAAATGGTCCTCTATATTCACTACCATTGTCTAATCTGATGCACTTCAATTTCCTGTCAGTTTCTCTTCCAACCTTGGCATGGAACTATTTGAAAGTATCAAGTACCTGAAATTTGTTCTTCAAAACATATGCAAAAACCTTCCGAGAGTGGTCATCAATAAATGTGACAAAATATAATGCACCACTAAGGGAACTCTCTGTCATAGAACAAACATCAGTATGCACAAGATCAAGAATATTCTTAGCACGATGTGGAACAGTGGATGTACGAAAAGCAATCTTGTGTTGTTTACCAGCTAAACAATCAACACAGGGTCTCAAGGTCATACCTTTCAACTTAGGGAGGAAGTCCTTACGAGCAAGGGAGTGCAACCCCTTCTCACTCATATGTCCAAGTCTCTTGTGCCACAACTCAATGCTGGAATCCACCTCAGCAATGTTCACATATGTCTTGCACAACTTTGTCTTTGTCACATAAAGACACCCTTGCTTGACACCACGAGCCAGAATCAAGGAACCTTTGGTGAGCTTCCATTTTCCTTCACCAAAGTAACTGCCAAGACCAATATCATCGAGCTTTCCCACTGATAACAAGTTCAGTCTAATATCAGGGACATGCCTCACATTCTCAAGTGTCAACTTGCAACCTGTGCTTGTCTCAACACATACAGTGCCCTTGCCAACAATGGTTGACGTATCTTTGTTTCCCATCCTCACATAGCCAAAGTCACCACTAGTGTAGGATGTGAAATACTCTCTGTGTAATGTTAGATGGGAAGAGGCTCCTGAATCCACTACCCAACTCAAATCATCACCAGTAACAACACTGAGACAACTGTCATCATCGGCAATGAGATAATCCTCACCAGCTGCGGTTACAACTGAGGCTTCACCCTTTTGCTCGGTATTTTTGCCTTGCTTTGCTTGTGCAAGCTCTCTTTTATAAATTCTGTACCGATTTCTTTTGTGGCCTTCCTTACCGCAATGACAACAAATAATCTTAGTGCTTGAACTTGACTGTGATCTCCCTGGATTTACTTCTGCCTCGCTGAGGTTTCTTGTGGCTACGACCTCGATTTTGATCTTTCTTTTTCAGCCACATATGCATCAGAAGAAGATGCCTGATGGTTGCCCTTTTCTTTTCTTCTGGCTTCCTCATTCAGCATGTTGTTCTTCACCATATCAGGAGGCAGCTTCCCATCTGGAGCTGAGTTGCTAAGTGATACAACAAGCGTGTTCTAGCTGTCCGGCAATGAGCTCAACAACAGCAGTGCCTGCACCTCATCATCAAGGTTTATCTTCATTGCTGTCAGCTGATTTATGTGGCCTTGGAAGACATTTAAGTGTTCAATAACATTGCTGCCATCTCGGCACTCTAGCTTTGCAAGCTGCTTTATCACCGAGGCCTTATTAACTATTGTCTTCCGCTCATACATAGACTCCAATTTTTGCCACAACTCAAACGCAACTTTATCATTAGCAACATGGTGAAAAATATCGTGGTTGATGTGCAAACGGATCATACCTACTGTCTTCCGATTCAATACTCTCCATTCTTCTTCCATGACTCCGGTGGGTACTTTATCTCTCACAATTGGCCCATACAAATTCTTGCAATAAAGCAGATCCTCCATCATGGGCTTCTATAGAGAATAATTTGTAGCATCAAGCTTGATCATGCCACTTGGAGTATTGTTGTCCTCCATTGCCAAATTGAGGAATATCACCTCCAACAATCAATTACGGCTCCGATACCAGTTTATGTTGGGATAACCACACTAACACACTTGCTAGTGACAGCGAAAACACTTAATTTCACCACAATGCGAAATCAGCCCAGATCGTCACCTATTCACGAAAGGAAACATATGCATCACACATATATATGGAGGAAATAGCAGGCAGTCACAATTGGTCCCAATCAGTTGTTTTCAAATCAGAAGCAGTCATTGACTGGCTCCAGTCAGTTGTGTTCACATCAACCTTTGCAACTAATCGCAACAGCACCAACAACAAGCACAACTAGTTGCAGCTAACAGCAGTCGCAACTAGTTGCAGCCAAACTCGCAGCAATAATAAGACACCAGATTTAACGTGGAAAACCCCCAAATCGGGGTAAAAAACACGGGACCAAGGCAGCCAAATCTTCTTCCACTATATGCTTGTGGGATTACAACAAGTTCATCTCTAGATAGCACTAGAGACAACCATACATCAAGATACAACAGATCTTGGATAGCAACAATAAGATTTGGGGGCTGCTACTTGGGAAGTGGAAAGACCTCACCAAATAACGGTGAAACTCAGATTAGAGGCACCAAGAATGTGGATCTGAAGCTTCACAACCTTGTGGAAGAATCATTCTTGATCTATTGTAAGATCTCCTCTCTAATATTACTCTTTTCCCTCTCTTTTCTTTTCTCTGGTTTTCTTACCTTCCTCATGCACAAGGAGCAAGGGGCTGAACTGGAGCTGCTATGTTTCTGCTGAACTCAGAACTCACGAAGCTTCCCTTCCCTTCTCTTCTCTTGTAAACTAAGAGACAAAACACTAGATGAACACAAGGTTGGTCCATTTCCTGTACTGCACCCAGGCATGTGGGCCTGCTCACTAGAAACATTTACTCTCAACTGCCCACTCATGAGGAGGATTTCTCAACACATTGTTAGCTCAGAACTTGCCGGCCAACTTGATCAGCGCAGACAAATCAAAGGCAAAATTTGTGATCGATCCAATCTGAATTCATCAACTTGAACAAGACTGGATGCACGCAACCCACGTCATGCATGCTCTGGTCGGCTAAGCCAGCTCGGCCAAGGTTTTAGAGATAGGGCAGATCGAACCGCAGAAGATATAACATAGTTCCAATGCATGCTATCTGTCAAACCGCAGTTTAAACACTAACGTCTCTACTATGAAGCATGTTTTCTTCTACCATCATCTGCCACGAAAATGCAGCTGTGGTCGTGGCCATTGACGCGCCAACCAAGTAAGTGCTGCAGTGCCGAGCAAGGGCGATTGAAGGCGGTTGACACGTTCCGAAGAGGGCTAAAAGTGGTTACCGTTAAGGTCACTCTTCAATAAAATCCTATGCAGTGGCATCAAAATATACGTGCATCAATGCATGGCTCCCGGCTGCTACATCGTCAGGTAATCCGGCAGATTGTTGGGCGCGCCGACGATCCTCCCGCCGACGTCCGGGAACAGCTCGTGCCCTGGCAGCGGCTCCACCCTGCCATCGGCTCGGACGTGCACCGGGTACCGCATCAGGTGCCCCTGCAGCGGCCCCTTGCCGTCGTCGTCCGCCCCGTACCTCCTCCAGTTGTCAGTTGCTATCCCGTTCACCAGACCAACGCACCGGGGTGACTCCGGCCGCTGCACCTCCGGCCGCCGGACCGCCTCCTTCCCCAGGTGCTCCTCCCATAGCGACATCCTGTACGCGTGCACCTTCCCGCTCGGTGCGTCGGCGCCCGTGTGGTCCGGCTGGTACGCGCCGACGGCGATCTCCGTGTCGCGCGACCCCGCCAGCGAGCGCTGGTTGATGTTGGCGGAGCCGATGATGATGTACTCGTCGTCCACGATCATCCCCTTCGAGTGCCGCAGCCGCTGAGCTCGTGCTGTCGTCGGGCGGATCCGCCGGCACCGCCCATTTATTGCGGTGGCCGCCGGCCGCCGCGTCGTCCTACGCCGGCTCCCGGTTGCCGAGGCAGTAGAAGTTGAGGTAGTCCTGCGGGTGCCCACCTTCTTTCCCCTCCATCGCCGCCGCGACGACCCTGTACATCATCTCCATGGTCTGGTTCTGCCAGTAGAGGATCTCTTGCGCGGGGCCGGATCCGGGGTTGCCCTCGGGCCACATGGGCATGACCACGTACGCGGCGAACGGCTCGCCGCCGCGGACCTTGCTGGCGACCTTGAGCGCGATCTCCATGGGGACCAGGTTGCAGGCGCCGCTGTTCCGGTACGACGGCCACGCGTAGGAGCCGCCGATGAAGTACCGGTTCTCCACGTACACGAACCGCTCCGCCGACCGGATCGCCGCCACGTACGCCGCGTGGATGCTCTGCTCTACCGCCAGGTTCTTGTCGCCGACCAGGTGGCGCCGGGACATCTCGGCACGCTCCCAGGGACGCGGGAACCGCTTCACTGACCCGGCGTCCACGGACCGGAAGTCCGGAACACCTGCGCGTGCCACCGCTCCGAGTCGCCGTACGGCACCACGTGCAGCGCTGGCTGGTCCCGCTCGTCGTCGGCGGCGGCGTTGGCGTCTGCGGCGCCGCCCGCCGCGGCAGAGCGCCGCTTGGAGGGGCTGAGGATCCAGGGGATGCGCTCCAGCTTCAGCAGCGCGTCGTCCTTCCGGTGCGCCGCCTTGCCGCCGAACATCTCCCGCAGCCTGGTCGCCTTCCGCCACCGCCGCTCGAAGTTCTTGAGGACGTCGTACGCCGCCGGCCCGTCCATCCGGCAGTGCAGGTCGTGCCATGGCTGACGTGGGCCCTTGGTGTCCCCCCTACGAATAAGACGATTGCATGATCGATCGTCATAGATAGAGACATCATCAATCTGCTGGAGGTTTTTAGTGGCTAACGACGTACACCAAACAAGGGGTTGTAGACGTCGCCGTGGAAGACGGTGTCGTGGTCGCGGAAGAGCCGGTGGCTGGGCGTGTCGTAGCGGCCGGTGCAGAGGTCGAGGCCGCCGAGGAAGGCCGTGATCCGGCGGGTGGACTCGGACGCCGGCGTGTCGACGAGCACGCACTTCTGGTGGTGCGTGTACAGCGTCCCCACGTCGCACTCAGTTTTTCATTCGACCCATAATAATTGCAAAAAATTAGATGATCTTCCTCCGTGAATAAATCGTGCGCTTCCCTGAGGGCATCCGCGTGGCGTCTGCGAATGGTGTTTTGACATCTGGCGCTTTTTTGTACCATCCACCGTCGGTTACTTTGGTGAACAAGTACCGGCTTATCCGGTTCTGTACGCCGCTGTGTACTTGGGATGAAAACGGATGGAAACGGGTCGAAAAACTCATCTCCCATTTCCGTTTCTATATTTTTAGCGAAAACAGGATCGGGTTCAGAAAAAAACGGAATTAAAAACGGATGGGGATATATGGAAATACGAAAACAGATAAATACGGACGGAGAGTCGAAAAAATAAGTTAGAATAACATGATCAAATATTCTTGAGTATACATAAACAAAGTCACAAAATAATATACTCATACGAAATTATCGGTCCAATATTCACTAGTATACCATATGTTAACATGTTAACATGTATAATTTATGATTAGTAGGTTTATAAATATATAAATTTCTAGATATATCTCACATAGATTGAAAATAGAATAAAAAATAAAATAAATACAGATTAATTCTGAATAAAAATCGGATCTCGTGAAAACGGACGGGAAAACCTTTTTCTCGTTTCCGTAAGGGGATCCCACAAATATAAAAATGATCTGAAGAAAGTAGAAAACGAAACAGATCGCAATCAGATTTTTTCCGCCCGTTTTCAACCTTACGTGTACATATGCTGTTGCGCCCGCCCACACGCGCAGCGACTTGTGGCGTGTTCGGCTGGCTTAAAGCCAGCCGGCTGATTTAAAGCCAGCCGACTGACTTGTTCCGCTACTCACGAAATCACTATTCAGTCAGAACAATATTTTTTTCTCACACCAATTAATCGAAACAGTATTTTTTCAGTGCAACCGAACGGACCCTTAGCCCGCCAGTCCGGCATAAACAAATCGACCAAATCTTCTCCACGTCCATGACATCATCTCTCCCTCGCTCCCTCCGTCGCCGCGCCAACGCCGCCCGGCTTCACCGCTCTTAGCGGGAACCTCGCCCCCTTCCTTGCTGATGCGGCCGCAGGCCCTGCCGGCGCTTTCGCGCGTGGATGCGGCGGCTGGCCTTGAAGGCCGCTGCGTGCGCGGGTCGAGTACGGAGAGGCAGCCATGGCGTCCTCTTCCCCGGCAGCGCCGGCGGATGCAGCGGCCAGCTTTGCTGGCGGCCGTGTGCGCAGGTCCAGGATGGACAAGTGGCCACAGTGTTGAGCTGAGGCACTGACTGCCTTCCCCATCATCAACGGTTTGCGATTCGCATCCTCCGCCTCCCATTCACCTTGCTCACCCAACGCGCTTTACAGTGAATCCGGCCTCATTCGACACCCATCTCCACTGAATCGAATACCACTACCATCTGAATCCCTATCGTCAACCATGCCGCTATGCCAGAGCCGTCGTCTCGACCAGGTACGAGTCTGTGACCCCCCCAAGCCCCAAACCAAAATCTTCGCTGTTGATTCATGCTCACCCGTCGGCTCAAACTGGTGGGCGGCTTTGTCCAGCCGGTGGTCAGACAGATCCGCAAGCCCGCGTATACTATCAGCTCAGCAAATGTGGCGGCTGGGTTGTCCATGAGCCTTGCCATTCAGCCATTGTAGTCCCATCGCCGGCCGGGGGAGATGAACATGTTGGCCGCTATGATGTCCAACTGTTGGCCGTCAGACTTCGACTGATCTCATTGTGGGGATGCCTCCAGGATTGAGATTTATTTCTTCCTTTTTCCCTATAATATTGCAATTTGCTTCCACGGACTTTCTAGAGCTCAGTTTTTCATTGGGACATGCTTTGACTCTAATCCGTTTGAGATTCTTCCTTTCTCTACGTTAGTTACCATGGTTTTCTTTTGCCTACACCTTGTGCAACTAATTGAATGAACCCATCCTGCTTTGAAGGTGGACGTGCAGATATATGTCAAGTGTGGACCTGCATGCTTCTATCCTGAGACTGCAGCATTATATAATCTTGACTTGATGAAAATGCAATCATCAGCTGCCTTCTGGAGTTCTAGCAGCACAGCTGAAACTGCTACCGTCCGTATGAACTTAGTATCCACTTCCCTTATATAAAAAATACAAGAATACTATTGTTGTTTTCTTCTTCTAACTAAAATACTTTATTTTTTTAGGCATCAGCTCTATCAAAGGATGCCGACTATTTGTACAAATGTTCTTTCTGCTTATATTTGCATTGGTGAGTCCTGAAGTAATATCTTTCCTGTTAATGATTGGAACAGACAATAAGATTTCCAGGTTTACAGATTAGATGAACATAGAAATGTAACATGCACCAGGATTAGTATCATGTATCGACATGCATGTCACACATAAACATAGGTTACCAATGATGTGGAGTTTGCCCATAAAATTTGCAGACTTATATGTTCTCATGCCACTAGACTGCCTATTCTTTTTTTTCCATCCTCCCAGTGGAATGTTTCAGATACTGAATTGTTTGACCACCATTGCCTTGCTGAATTGTGTCATCAAACATAAAGTGATGTGTCAAAGCCATTCATCCCTACAATGACGTGAATCATGTTTAGTTTCATCAATGTATTAAATTTGGCCTAGCAAGCTGTACACCAAATTTAATGGACTGCTGCATGTTTGATTTTTAGAACGACTGATAATGATAGAATACTCAAGGTTGAGGCAGCCCTTCTATAACATGTTTCGGAGATCCTTGCCTTGCCTGCAAGGAAGGTGCTTCAGTACTCACTGTAAGCTGAGCGCTTTCAGTGAGAAAAAATCAAGTATTCTGATGTGTGATTATTGGGATGGTGAAAACCAACGTATTCTTTATGTCCAAATTCAGCCTCCTTTTCGTTGTGAGACTGCACGTCCATGGCCTATGGTCATGCCGAGGTGTGTGTTCGCAGAAGTCTCTTTTTCTCCATTATATCTGTCTGTTCCTGCAAGATCGTGGTGAAATTGGCATTTTACTTCTTGGTTTGTACCAACTAAAATTGTCTCACCTCTGTACTGAAAGTAACTATCTTCATATTGTGCATTTAGGTCTCAGATTGCCAGCCTGGCCATTATCTTCCTATTGTGCAATAGAAGGAACTGGGTCACCGTTGCAAGCCTGTAAGATTATTGGCTATACGTGTGCCGTCCGCAGCATAATGAAGGGATTCTTTTTTTCTGATGTACTTTGTAACCCTTCTGTTGGTACCATTTTTTTTCTTCCATAGGCATAGTTCGCCACTCATCAGACTCAGGAAATTTGCTGTATTCCCGCATGGTATCTGATTTGTGTCCAACTTGATTCATTGATAGTAACGTCGACTGATAATCTTATAGTTAGATTTGTTCAGTTCGAATATAAACATCTTTACCACATGTTGGCCATTCTGACCAACAAATGTTTGTTTTTTAATCATGTCAGACAAAACAGCAAGAGGTCCAATGCAGTGTACTGAGGCATACAGCATAAGCGGGCGCAGCGAAGCGCGCCAAACGTCCTAGTACTCCTTGACGAGGCCGAGCTTGCTGCTTGGGTAGCGCGGCGAGAGCAGAAAAAAATTAGATGTAGTCTGGCTGCACCGGCGCAGCATGCAAACCACTAGTTGATGTAAGCCACGTGTCCGGTTGAGGAACGGTTCACGCTGGTTCCTTCCCCTGCGGCTTTGCGGTTCCGGCTCGGCAATTAATGGCAAGACATGTGTCAACATATGACTGGTGGTGTAGACACGTGTCAACATATGAATGGTGGTCTCCTGTGACTAAGTAAAGTGACACTGACACTGACACTGTTGACATTTGCGATACTCAGCCCTTGTTTAATTGTAAAAAGATTTGTCAAAAAGTGCTACAGTATCCATCACATCGAATCTTATGATATGTGCATGGAGCATTAAATGTAGACGAAAAAAAAACTAATTGCACAGTTTGGTGGGAAATTGCGACACGAACATTTTGAGCCTAATTAGTCCATGATTAAACATTAATTGCCAAATAAAAACGAAAGTGCTACAGTAGTCCAAATTCCAAACTTCACCGAACTGAACACGGGCTCATTCAGAAGAATATAAGAGTCAGATAGCAAAATAATAGAATAGGCAACAGCTGCAGATTTATATTGTGGTGTAGCAGAGACTAAGAAATACACCTGATATACAATTACAAAGTTGTCCTCGATTATATCTTCATTCAGATCTCCAAGATAATCTGTCAGGACATCGGCCACGTACGCGAGAGAGAAACTGAAAAATGCAAAACACTTGAGCACATCCAGGAGATACAGCCAAAAAGTATCATTTATGGTCGATCATTATATCCGTTATTACAGATAGATAAATTTGGAAGGCTACTACAAGATAAACATTTGATGATACGACAGAACTAGGGTCTTAATTAAAAAGTTGCATTTCCATGAAATTTTGTAATAGGTTCCTTAACTTTCCAAAAGTCCAAGAGTACTTCAACATCTGAATTGTTCTGAGGAACACTTGGGAAACTTTTCAGACACAAGGGCCAACTAACACTGTGAGAGGCCAAAAGAGACTTGCGGATTAATGAGGTTACTACGAAATATTTATTGTTCCTTTCTGCAGCCACAAAATATGCTAAATTCTCTCTTCATGTTTTCTGGGTTCAATATACCGTAGATTTTGCGGGGGGAAGACTTGCCTCGGTTTTTCCCTTCCCCAAACCCCGCTCATGTGGTAGCCTCCGGCACTGGGTCTGTCCTTTTAATATATATGGTTTCAACACATTTTCACTAATGTTCTACAGCAAAGAACTAATTTGATGGTTCCATTATTATTATTATTTTCTTGCCAAACAGACACTATAGTTGACAATGTATCTGGCTTTACAGATTTGAGCAAGTGACCATACATACTTCTCGCTGTCAGTACTATATATCCTTTTATAGCAAGTTGTAGAAATACACATTCCTTTTTTAGATAACAAATTATGTGAATCAGTGTGTAAAGACTCTAGTTTGGTTGCCCTTATGTCTTTCAGACTGATGATGCGTGAGTTAAGAGCTACGCCACTGTTCCAAAGCACCCACCATGCTCTGTACCAAATACTTAGCAATGTTTACCTCCAATGCAACAAATGTGTTGCATTTTTGTCTTTTCCTGCTACAGCCTTGCCATTAAAGGACATTAAAACAACAAGTAACAGCTAAGTGAAAAGGAAAAGGTTGCAAAGAGATGAAGCCCACACCTTGATAGCCATCAGTGGGGCCATCTCCACTTGGGTGCACGCCAAGAATGTTACACCATCACGATAGATTTGAAACAGGTAATGCGTTGGTGACACCACAACCTGCAAGACCTTCCAAAGCCCAACAAACCTGTGATAAGTAAAATTCCGGTGGAATCGAACAGCTAAGATAAACAGAATGAAAACACTGTGAAATCAGGGATGCAATTTATTTGGCGTCAGCATACTCCTCTCAAGTTCTTTAGTCCTCATAACTAAGGAATTTGTCCTTAATTTTGAGCCAGTCAGCTGGTTTTGGCTGGAAGATTGCTATATATCCTTCACTGTCAGCCTAAATTCGAAAAGGGGAGAAAAAGGGAGTAATGTGTGCTGCCCAGTATATGGTAAAGAAAACAAACATATAGCAATGAAAAAGCAGCAAAAGTCTTGAATTGATATTCTATCTTTAAAAAAAACTAGAGCACGACTTGAACAGAAAAGGAAAACACACAATATAGTAAGCACACAAAGAGTCAAAGAAATAGAGGAAATTTGCCAGACAACAGGTTGTACTCACAACGGTATTAAGAAGATCTGGTTGTTTGATCAATCTTTCATTGATCTCCAAAAGGGAACCTTTCAAGCAGCATCTGTAAAACTTTAGCATAAGCAACACTGCAGTGCAGAAAACAATAATATCTCAGACATACTTCTGTGATCTTTAAAATCAAGGGGACCAGCCTCACAATAAAAGATTTATCGTTTACACAAACTTTGCACAACGCCGAATTTTCTTGCAAGTGTTGTGCATTCTGCAATGTAAAATGAACATCAATTCATGTTGTCATTTGTTTAATCAAACAAAAAGAAACACAGTCTAGTTACCCTTTTGCGTTTTCCTGTGACTTTCATCTCGCTGCGATCTGACTTGCCGACGTTGGAGTCAACAGTGGTTATTACTCCTTCCTCTTTAAACACAACATGGGTTGGAGCTAAACCAACCACACACAATCTAAAGTTTTTCAACAAAACAAAGCAACCATGAGAATGTAGATATTAAGGCTCATTAGAAATCTCAATGTGCACTACTCACAAAACAGGAAGGCATTGATTGGCACTTGTCAACTAGAGTTATTGTATAGAAAATAAATACCTAACACAAGAACAGATCATTTATTTGCAGATAAAACAGTACCACGATTATGTTATGAAGCAGACATTCAGCTTTCTTAGTTACCCAGCGCACTTAGCATTCTTAGTATCTACAAATAATTCCCTTTAGAGAGAGACACCATAGCAAACTGTTGTCAGCCTTAGATGCTCATTGTGAAAATGCAAATTTCACCAAAAGCCTTGAGAACCTGATGTTGACTTGTCGAAATTGAAAACCTACCCGTTTGGATGGCGATACACATACTGATCATACCGCGGATTCAGAAAAACTGCCCAAGAAAGCAGTAAAGTGAAATTAGAGTGCTTGAAGCAGACGTCTAGAGACCAGTAGAAAGATTTCCCTCCCCTGGCTCAACATATAACAGCATAAACTTCTCAAACATTCTAGTATGTTAAGTCACTAATGCTAGAGAACCACGCTACACAGTGCAGACACAGTAGGCTGAAAATAAAATCTTCAGAATCCAGGATCTTATGTCCTACCTGGAATGGGTCAATGGGCCCGAAAAAAGAAGTTGGGTGATGTTGATACTGATATTCCGTGTCAGAACTCACCCCACGCGTCATATATCGTACATGGCGGTAAAAAAAGCACCCGCCGAATAAATATAAATAAGCACTTTGTCAAGGCTGAATGAAACAAAATTAATCTTCCATCGTGGCGTAAGGATTGCATCTTCTGTGCCGGTTTCAAACCATACATATACAATGCTGCCAATTATTAGGTTGATGCGACATAGGATGTCTCCATTGACTCATCACTTGCCTTCAATATGTTTCAAACTGTAAGGATTTTAGAAGTTCTAGTAACACGCACGTACGTATTTATTAAATAAAAAATATCCCTTAATAGCCAACAAATTTTGATGACGGAATTCATGTCGTATAGATTTCATGATCTCAGGACATGGTCAGGAATGACATAACAAAATGGGGAATCCTCTCGGGTACATTTCCTAGTATCACATAAAACAAAACTGCAGGCATACAAAAGGTTGAAATTTTTCCACACGTCTCCAGCAAAAGCATATATACAAACAGCTTTCCAAGTTACTCATTCCGTCCCACTAATATTTGCACATCTAGGTTCTGGCGCGGAAAACAAGAAGGTAAATTTACGAAATTGCCCCTACGAAATATCTTCCACCGCCGTCTTGGTCGAGCTTCGCCCAACACCCAATCCCAATCCAATCTTCGGTCCATCTACCTCCCCTTCTCACTGCTCGCACCGCATCGCCGCGTCCATGACATGCCGCACCTCTCCACCGCCTCATCCATAGAAGTCACGTCGATGTCGCCCTCCCCGCGTCTCCACGCGCCATTGCCCATCTCCGCCTCCTCTTCCACAGTGCTGCGAGCGTGCGGAGCGGACGGAGCTGCATGGGCCACGACGTCGGAGAGGTGACGGAGGAGTTCGACGGTGGCAGCGTTGTACTGGGCAGCGCCGACGACAGGGCCATCGGGCCGACGTCGACGCCGTGAGTGCTTTCGCCGGTTACGCGCTGCCCTTCATCGCTGGGCTACAGCCACGCGATGCCTTTTTTCGCGGCTGGGCCGCAGTGTGGTGGTGGGCGCGCCGTCTGGGGAAGGGGAAGGAGTGGGCACGCCCAGAACGGTGGCGCAGCGATGCGGAATGAGATCCGCACCCTCGGCGCGGAAGGCTGAACGGGAGAATGAAGCTGCATTCCTGTGAACGAGACGAGGAGCTTCTGGAGAGCTCACGAGAGCCTTCGAGTCCAACGAAATCGTTGGTTCTCTCCTTTTTTTTATTTGTGACATAAATTAATTAATTTTTTTTATTTTTCTGATCTCACCTGTGTCTGGTATATTTTGATGTGATAGTTACATGTGCTGATACGTACTCTATATTCTGAGCGCTCCTCCTGTCCTCCTGAGTCCTGACGCGCACACACAACTACAGAAGAAAAAACTGCACATTTTTGCACGTGGTGGTACCTATCGGCCATCGGATAGCCGACAGTACTATCGGCCCGATCTGGACTGCCGATAGGAACATGACGGCCCTCCAAAAGCAGATAGGACTTGTAATTCTTTTTAATCAAATGCTACATTTGAAATGAATCATTAAAAGTATTATTTTAACAAAAAAATTCGTACGACGCCTGCCCGCCCGTCAGCCCGTGCCCTTCCCCAGTTCCCCGGCCGAGGGAAAGAGCCTTTTCACGTCGTCAGGGCTCACACCCCAGCAACCGAAAGCAGAAAGCTGGACCTGGACAAGTTAAGCCGCGGCAGCCATGCGAGTACGAACTACTCTTAATAAAACTATGGTCATTGCAGTTTACTAGCACATGGAGGTTGCCGCACTGGCACACTCCTCTCGTAAATTCTTCACAAATTTCAGACAAAAAAAAAAGGAGGCGCTGGTGGGGGCCGGGCTGCGTACGTGGAGCGCGCGCTGCTATGCTGCCGCGTGTGTGCATGCTAGCTTGCTGCTGGGCTGCCAGCGGCGAAGCGGTGATTGGGGTGTGGACCAGATGGATGTGTGTCAGCGCCATCAAACGGCCATCGCACGCAATAGATGGCCAAAATTCCGGTTAGCAAATATGAGAACAAAATAGGGAAGAGGAACTCCATACAACATCACCCACCATACCTTAAGATTCTCTAGGAGAATTATATCGCCTGAAAAAAAAACAGGTTAACAATTACCGCACATCTAGGACTCATTCACTCGGGCGCAGCAGGCCAGTCAGGTAGTTTTTTTTTGTGTGGTGCTCATCATTGAAGAAAAAGGTTAAAGTAGGCTTCACATGGCACAATGACAAGATCAAAGGCGCAAAGCAAACTATGATTCGTTCAACAATGGAAGGGAGTCGAACATTATTTTCGAACTTGGCATGCAAAGGAAGTCTTTTTTTTTTCTGAAGGCACGCACGTGACGGGCTGGTACGATTTTCCGTGCTTGGCGTATTAGCGGAGAATAATTAGGGGAAATTCACTCACTCACTCGCGGAGCCCTGCCCTGCTTCAAATGCAAACTTTACTTACCCCCGCTTGGTTCACGATCACGAGGAATGCATGATCGTTTTCCTCCGACATGGCATGTGTTCCGTCCGTTTCGTCGCACGCAGACGCACCCGCCGCCGTGGCAGATAGATGTGCCTGCTTCTTCTGTCTGTGGAACCAGCCGCGTTGCACCGGAACCACCACAAAAAGCCCACGCAACCGGCGTTTGCCACCTCGTGGTCGCAGCCTGTAAACATACCAGCCAAGCTGTACAGTACGACGTGCCCTTCCCGGCCGAGAAAAATAGCCTTTTTCACTTTCACGCCGGCGGCCGACCAACCAGCCCAAAGCAGCAACAAACAATGCACGGCGGGTGCAGATACGTACTCCCTCCGTCCCACTGATATTTGCACATCTGGTTCTGGCGTGGAAACCAAGAAGAAGGTAAAATTATGAAATTGCCCCTACGAAATATCTTCCACCGCGTCCATGACATGCCGCACCTCTCCACCGCCTCCTCCGTAGAAGTCGCGTCGATGTCGCCCTCCCCGCGTCTCCACGCGCCATTGCCCATCTCCGCCTCCTCTTCCACAGTGCTGCGAGTGTGCGGAGCGGACGGAGCTGCCTGGGCCACGACGTCGGAGAGGTGACGGAGGAGTTCGACGGTGGCAGTGTGGTACTGGGCAGCGCCGGCGAAAGGGCCATCGGGCCAACGCCGACGCCGTGGGTGCTCACCGGCTACACGCGCTCCCCCCAACCCCACACGCGGGGCTGCAACTGCTGCACGTGGCCTTCGCGCTGGACGGCCGCTGTAGACTGGGTGGAGGCCGTCCGGGGAAGGGGAAGGAGTGGGCACGCCCAGAACGGTGGCGTAACGATGCGGAATGAGATCCGCACCCTCGGCGCGGAAGGCTGAACGGGAGAATGAAGCCGCGTTCCTGTGAACGAGACGAGGAGCTTCTAGAGAGCTCACGAGAGCCTTCGAGTCCAACGAGATCGTTGGTTCTCTCCTTTCTTTTTTTTATTTGTGACATAAATTAATTAATTTTTTATTTTTCTGATCTCACCTGTGGCTGGTATAGTTTGATGTGATAGTTACAGGTGACCTTTATTTTGGGAAAAATCTTGAATGGTGGATGTAGTTTTATTAGTGGGACGGAGTGAGTACATAGCAACTTGGATAATTTATAGCTTCAAATTAACTCAGTACATGGAAAGCGATCATAACGTTAAGTTCTTCGGACATAGTCATTGCACCCAGCAAGCCAAATATAGCAATACCGACAAGTCTATCTTAAGTAGCAAGCTAAGAAGCCAGTTTTCACATCCACAGTGATCGATGACATCAGTGCTTAGTAGGGTAGGGGCGGTAAGGATCGCGATAGCCAAACGCAAAATCTCCTGGGCGCGGATGCAGCACACGGGAGCGAAGATAGCACATTTCACAGACTTTCTGCACATGCTGATGTCCACACGCAAATATCTTCTGTATGCCAGGATGTGGAACATCAAAGCGCTTGTAGCACGTCTTGCAAAAGGAATCCACTGCAAAAACACAGGAAGCCAAGCAATATATAAAAATGAGTAAAGTGAACGATCGTGTGGTCTGTGTGAGAGAGGAAGAGGAATAGGATGAGGAGAGGGGGTTCATACATTTGCCACTACGACGAGTAGAGAACCCAAGAGGGAAACCCAAGACACTGTAGGATTCAGTAACTGGTTCATCTGAAAACAGAAGGAACAGAAGGCAAAAATTAATTTATACAGAAAGCATTACAATGTAACCGCAAAGGTTGTTTATTATAATAATATAAATAAGTGCAAACAGATCAGATCACAATTGTAATGATCTTCTTCCAACGAGTACATACGAGATAGGTGTGTTGTATAAAAGAGAAACAAGAAGAAAGAAGTAGAGCATACCTAAGGGGGTGCATGTGACGACATCATCGAAATCATTTGTATGAGCAAGCTCGAAGAAAAAGAGAGTCCTTGGAGCAGGGAGGAATGAGAACCAACCAGAGCGCTTCTTACGAGCTACAAAGTTCCCATGAGTCCAGCAAACGCCATTGTGAAAATGGGCATTCCGGTACACCTTGCCTGGAGCAGGCTCATACTTATTGCCCTGACTCAAACCAATCCAATCATTCACGAGGTAAGGAAATTGGCTAGTGTAGCAGGGCAAAACCAGATTAGTGGACGATGCAACCCATTAATCTAGTGTTTGTTATTATGGTATAAAACCAGATTCAGAATCGCAGTTTGTCACACATTCATCCATTTTATGCACATACAGGGTAGGATCTATGATAGGATAGATCACGAACCGGATGCTTAAGGTTGTAGTAGTGCAGGCAATCCATGGTAACCTCGCGATCCATAGCTAATCGCTTGAAGTAGCCCGGCCGTCTATGTCTGAACAAATAGAATAGCACGGCATTGAATTGTAATATGCGCAATCGAAATCGGAACCGAAAAAACGGATGGAACGAGGGGTTACCGTAGAACCATCTCCATCTGTTCCTCAGTCAGCGCCTGACCGACGGGGATGGAGCAGGGATCGAACCGGGAGAAGCACCGGCGCCACAGCCGCGCGAGGCGCGAGAGCAACGACTGCTTGGCTGGTGGCGGCGGGGGAGGAATTACAAGGCGGTCCAACGCCTCGTTCCCGGCCGGGGTGAGGAGGAAGCCGAACTCCACGGACGCGGCGGCGCGGGGGGCCTTGGCATCCTGCGCTGGCACGACTCCGATGAGGGGAGTAGCCTCCGTCTCCGTCTCTGCTTCCATCACCGTCAGCGTGACCGGGGCCATGGCTGCTCCGACCCGAGCGGTCGCGGTTGCGGGTAGGGTTAGGGCTAGTGTGCGGTGCGAGTCGACAAGACGACGAGCGGGGCGAAAGGAGAAAAGAAAGAAGACGCCGGTAGCAGATGCGGGGCAAAAAAAAAAGGAAAACAGACAGAGAAAGATAGAACGGCCCAGGCACACGGCCCAGCCCACCCGAACTCGACGGGAGGACGGCCCAGGCCCAAGAACCCCCACCTTCTCCTTCCCCCTATACTCTGCTCGCCTCCTCACTGTTCCCTGCTCTCTGCCTCACAAAGCGCCGCGGCTGCTCGAGGCGGACACCAGAGCAAGCGACAAGTTGCGAGGCGACGATGAGCGGTAGAGCCGACCGCCAGCGCCGCCGCCCTCCTCCGTCCACAAGCGCTCCGATCCTCCTCCCCAGGCGCCGCCGTGCCACCACCAGTGAGGTATATATACCCTCGTCGCTCTACTAAAACCCAAAACCCCACCTTTTGCCGTGGCTGCCTCTCGGCCTCTCCGGAGTTACATTCTCTTCTCTCCAGCCCAAATTTTGAGATTTTGCTTTGATTTAGGAGATGGGGACGAAGATTGACTGGGATGCTGATTGCTGTGCTCCCCGGGGAGGTTGACTGGGACGCCGTGCTCCCCAACCATCAATGGAAGCGACGCGGCGCGAAGAGCTGGGAGCACGTGATGCCGCCGCCACGAAGACAGTTGGAGATACTCCCCAAGGATTTCGGTAACGCGCCTCCCTCTATCGCCGGCCTCCGTCGTCCGTACGATGAAATTTAACAGCTTTGCACTTTGTTGTATGCAGGTGGGTCGTGCGCCGCCCACTCCTTCTCGGAGACCCTCACCGGCTTGCTTCGCATAGGCCTTCCCCCATCCAGCATCGAAGTCGACCTGCCCCACCTTCTCCATCTGTCAGCCGCCAAGGGCATCCTCACCGACGAGGGCTCTGCCCTGGCGTGGATCGACCTTCTTGCCAAGAGTTATGGCATACCCTTGGATGGTAAGATTGCTGAACGCCACATAGGCCGCGAAGAGTTCAGGCTGGGGCAGCTGGACGCCGACGCTGACATCTACGCCCTCAACACCTTCGTCTTTTCCTTACCATCACAGCCCATGCCATTCAGCAAGCGCAGCCGCACCCCTGAGGCAGCAAGCCATCGAGTACCGCGAGCGCCTATGCAATCTTCTCGACGTGGGGCCGCTGATAATCTGTTTGGACGTTGATCAGCGCTACGGTAAACCACGCCAAGATGGTCAGCCTTACTGTAGGGTTAAGGACTCATGGCTCTCATTTGGCGTGTTGGAAATATGTGCCTAAAATACATTCCAGATTTTATTTGGAGGAAAAACACATAGATAAAAAATGATGCAAGCATATAAAACATGTAAACATGCAACGTACTGACTAGAACAGGATTGCGCAAGGAAATTACTCAATGATCCCGCACAGAACGTAGTCGAACATGTTGAAGTAGATGTTGCAGATCACCAAGCGGTCACGTGTAGACGCTGCCCAAAAACCTGATTGCCGCCCCGTGCAGGAGTCTCGCGGCAGTGGTTTCGGAGATCCCGCTATCTTCAAGTCCGGTGCACGCCGAATTCAAAGGTCGACGAGGCGCAGCAGCGAGAAGCTCAGCACAGCAAGTGGGGAGGTGAGCGTGTGACTGCGTACCATTCAACCAGGACGTCTCCTGGTTATATAGGCCTTCATAGTGCATCAATTCCCCTCATCAAGAAGTAGAAACTATCCATTTGAATGACAGAAACTACTGCAATCGAATAGCATAAACTGACACACCTTATTACTATTTAAAACGGCAGTTTCAGTCACATTGAAGAGCCATTATGCTCAGCATAAAAAATGGAAACTACATAAATAATAGCCTGATGTACACGTACGCGTCGCGCTTGTCGCAAGTCATGCCTAAATCCAACATGGCGATCCTCCCAAGACCGGGCATTGTATCACTGCTTATGGGTATAGGTGCACGGGAGGCGATGTTCACACTCTTCGTGTGCTATACCAAGAGAACATGACCAACGCCCCTACTGATGACCCAGGACGTCTGCTCATTCACCCAGACGCGATCGACTCTTACCACGTGGTATGCCTCCAAGATCTCCAGTTGAGCAATACACCCAGCCCGGGTTACATGGATGTGGAGCTGCTTCATGCTCGCAAGAAGAAATCTTGGTGGAAGAAGACGATCGATAGCATCTTCTAGGCTGCTGCCCGCTCGGTATGGTTAAGTGAAAAACAGAGTCTTCTAGTCGTTTGGCACATTTTGGGCTGTGTTCAGGTTTTTGCTATTAGGATTTCATTTCCACGAACATGTCTCATGAGAATTCCACTTTCACTGTTTTTAGGGTGGCGGCGGCAGAAGAGGAGAGGAGAGGGGTGGCGTGTAGAGAAGAGAGGGAAGGGAGAGAGAGATAAATGGTTTAACACTAAACTTGCTTGCCTTTCTCATTAAGTGTCTCCCTCATATATAAAAGGGGGTTACAATTGCTAATGGGCTTAGCCCATGAGTCTATCCTCCTATCGAGGCCGGATCTATAACAGCTGGGCCTATTGCCCCTCGCTACTTTAACTAGCCTGTTGCCTTGTTCTGTCGTCATCTCCTGGTGTACGTCTTACCGACCATGACATCTCTCCCCGTCTGAAGAATCAGCTCGTTCTCGAGCTGAAATTTGGGATATAGCTTCTGGAAGAGCTCAGCATCTTCCCAAGAGGACTCTGCTACTGGCTGGTTCTTCCACTTGATCAATACCTATAGTTGTCCCCGATGTAATCTTGATTTAAGCATGAGGTCGGGTTCTAGAACTGCAGCTCCTTTGTGCATTGTTGGCACTTGTCCTGGCTTTGAGGGTGGTGTACCTTTATGTGGATTAAGCATACTCACATGAAAGGCATTGTGGATGCGAGCCTCATCAGGTAGATTCAAGCAGTAGGCAACGGAGCCGATGCATTCACTTATCTGAAAGGGCCCGAAGTATTTTGGAGCTAACTTGCCTTTCTGGAGGTTGGAGATTCCCACCGCTACTCGGGCCATTAGTTTAAGCCACACCCAATCGCCGACTTGGAATGATTGATCCGTGTGCTTGTTATCATAATATTTGTTGTAGTAATCCTAGGACTGTTGGAGACGTACCTTTGTTTGTTCCAAAAATTGGTCACGTTCGGTAAGTAAGTCATCGACTGAAGGTACTGCAGCATCACCTGGGCTATATGTTTTAAACTGTGGAGGGTCACGTCCATAGACTAGTTTGAATGGTGTGGTGCGGATGGATTTATGCTAAGAAGTGTTGTAGCAAAATTCTGCCCAAGGAAGCCATCTGATCCATTCTTTGGGTCTGTCTCCTGTCAAGCAGCGCAGGTACATAGTGATGATTTTGTTGACGATCTCTGATTGGCCATCTGATTGCGGGTGGTAAGTTGATGTCATCTACAGTTCCTGCCATAATCTGTTGGTGAAGACGACATCCCTGTCCGACAATGGATTTTGGTAACCCATGTAATCTGACTATCTCAGAGACGAATTTGTGAGCCACCGTTGTTGCGGAATAAGGATGTGCCAGAGGGATGAAATGAGCATATTTGGAGAGGCGATCCACGACAGTGAGAATAACAGATTTACCTCCGATCTTAGGAAATGCTTCAATAAAATCCATGGATATGTCCTCCCAGATTTGTTCTGGTATTGGTAGTGGTTGAAGGAGGCCAGTTGGGTGGAGGTGTTCTGTTTTATTGCGTTGGCAGACTGTGCAGTTACTAACAAACTGTTGAACTGTTTGTTTGGCTCGAGGAGTATGAAAAGTTTGCTAGAACCGATGTAGTGTTTTCTTAGATCCCTCATGTGTAGAATTATGGATGGCGTGGAGAACTTCTTGTAAGATAGGTGAGGATGATGGAATATGTACCCATCGTTTGTAGAGGATGAGGCCGTCCTCGAATGTCCATGCAGGAGAGAGTTGCCCTGTTTTGATAGACTGCGCGAGCTTGCCTGCCTCTTCATTGGTAGTGATTTCAGCCTTGAGATGATCGAATACTAGGAAAGTAATCTCTGATAGGGCCATCAATGAAGGCTCGGTCGCATCCCGGCGGGACAAGGCGTCGGCCACTGTATGTTTGCCTAGTTTATACTCAACTATGAAGTCATAGCCCAACAATTTACTAACCCATTGGTGCTGTGGAATTGTTGAAAGGTGCTGATCCAGAATGTATTTGAGACTGTAATGGTCAGAACGGATAAGAAACATGCGCCCCAGAGGTAGGGTCGCCAATGATTGACTGCTGTGACCAAACCGATTAATTCTCTTTCATATGCAGCTAATTTTGCATGTCGGGGAGCAATCGTGCGGCTGAAGAAAGCTATTGGTCTCCTTGATGAAGTACTGCTCCAAAACCTCTGAAAGATGTGTCGCATTCCACCAAAAATGGTTTGTTGAAGTCAGGTAGCTGCAAGACTGGTGTTGTAGATAAGACCTGTTTGAGTTGTTGGAATGATGTCAGTGCCAGCTCAGTCCGGTGGAAATTGTCCTTCTTGAGGATGTCTGTCAGAGGTTTGGCGATTGCACCATAATTTTTGATGAATTTCTTGTAGTATCCAGCAAGTCCAAGAAAGCCTTTCAATTGTTTGACTGTCACAGGCTGGGGCCAAGAAGTGATGGCTTTAATTTTTTCTGGGTCAACTGCAACCCCTTGATCTGATATAATGTGTCCCAGATAGCCCACAGTAGTTTGTTCAAAGGAGCATTTGGATTTCTTAAGGAATACTGAATTAGCCTATCGTAGAGCCAGTACTTGCCGAATGTGTTGGAGATGTTCTTCCTAAGTTTTACTGTAAATGTAACGGCCAAGAATGTCATTCATAAGAGCTTGGAAGGTGGAGGGAGCATTGCATAGGCCGAAAGGCATGACCAAGAATTCAAAGTGGCCATGGTCAGTTCTAAAGGCTATTTTCTCAATATCATCTGGGTGCATATGTACCTGA